TTAAGTAATCAAAAACCGGGTGATAAAGATAACATGAAGCACACAATCTATACTAATAAAAGGGTAGTATGCTAATTAGACCGGGTCGACCGGCCATCTTCCAGACGTCCGACTTCCTCTGGACAAAGCCATGGTGGTGGGTGCCAAGGCAGAGGCAGTTAGGGGCAATCAGGCCGGCAGGGAAGAGCAGTTAGGGGCGACCAGGCTGGCAGGGGAGGGCAGTTGGGGGAGACCAGGTCGGCAGGGGAGGGCAGTTGGGTGCGACCAGGCCAGCAGGGGAGGGCAGTTGGGGGCATTAGGCAGTCAGGTGAGTGGTTAGGAGCCAGTGGTCCTGGATGTCTGAGAGGGATGTCTGACCGACCAGCAGTCGGACATCCCCTGAGGGCCCTGGATTGGAGAGGGTGCAGGCCAGGCTGAGGGGACCCCCCCCCCCATGCACGAATTTTGTGTACCGGGCTTCTAGTTATTTTAGTAAAACACAAAATATTTGCTTTCTTAGGCAAATTACCTAAAAGTGGAAAACCCTTCACAATCTTTTATCAGGAGCAGACCAACAGTCCAAGACAATCCTGTGAGCAGATGGAAGAAAATAAAGTTTCAGTTTTACATTAAGTACACTACTGATATTAAAGCTTATCTTTAAACCCTTATAATAAATTAATCCCACTTTAACTACCTTAATAACACAAGGTTCCCTCTCTCACTTCCAAACTTTCTATAATCCATTATTTTGTCCTTTATCCACCTCTTTGCAATTTTGAAACAGCTGGTTGTACTTCAGGAAAAATTACTCTCTTTCCCTTAACAAAAATTCATCTCTGTACCTAGTACATTTTTTAACCAAAAACACATCTTACTTTCCATGCATACAGAGATGTTGCCCTTACTAATTCTACAGTTTTAATTACATATAATAATTAGAATTCCCAACCTTTGAAATCTTAATTTCTACTGAAAACCAAGAAGTTAGCAATTTTGAACTGCTACAAACCATTATGTAGATTGGCAAATTTCTTAGCATTTCCTAATTTCTTGAAGCACATGCTTCTTTGTAGTACAATTTTCAATGTGGCACAAGACATGTTTACTCACAGACCCAGAAATGTTTAGTTTCTTAGTAATAAGAAGCCAAGAGTGGATGAAACTATATTCAGTAATTCATGTTTCAGTACTTTATCTTATTTGAAAGTGATCTACATATTGAATGAATTTCCATCATTTAACTTAGCAAAATTTTAAGGGTTCAAGTTACCAAACAGATTTGGAAGCCATTTTAAAGTAGACATGTGTTTTGAAACTTACTAATTATTTAAAGTTCATTGCACTTACATCTATTTAATTCACTTGGTCTTAAAAATTATATTTAGATTACTCCTGTAAATATCTAGTTTTTTTCCTTCAGATGAAAAGGAAATTTGTATTTCAAAGAGTTTGCTCTCAGGTCCTAAAGAAGATGGGGGTAGAAAATTTACATCTCAAAGCCACAAAGAAAGTATCCAGTTTTCTCTAAGGAGTTTTGGTGTTATTTCCTATTTGACTAATAAACCTTGGTGGAATAAAAGTTGTATGTCTGCATTATATCCAATTCTGACAAATCTGAACACATGCTCATTTGATTTAAACCAACTTAATTTATAGAATATTTCCCCAGATCATTATATTAGAAACTATTTGGGTTTGTTTCCATATTTCTGAGAGTCTAGAAATACTTATTTCATATAAGTGCACATTTTTAAGCCAAATGAATAGAACTTTTTTACAAATTAATTTTGCCATACCATCTGGAGGTAGAAAAATATGACACATTGACAATATACATATATAGACATACATAAATGTATAGACAGACACACATAGAGACCTTATTGCTACTGTTACAAAATTTTAACCATAAATCAGGTGTATTTCCAAGTATTAGGTATCTAGCGTCATTACCCTTTAATTTTTTCCTCTTCTTAAGGGCAAGACAATTCTGTTAGCAGTGACCCAATCTTTTACAATGTCTACAAACATTGGTTTCTACCAGTCCCTGAACATTGCCTTCCAGCTGATCCATTTCCTGATGATTTGTAGAAGGGTCTGGGAGACATTCTGGTCCTCTGTTTCCTCTGTGAGGGCGTTTCCCTAGGAGCTGCCTGGCTTGTCTGATACCTACAGTATAATCAAGGGTGGGATGAACACCCCTGAGCAGCCCATCAAGGCTCCTGTGAGTGGGCTTGTGAATGGCCACTGATCTCTCTCTTTTCTAAATCTTGTAGGATCTTCTGAAAGTGTAATTTCATCTTGTTATGAAAGTCCCTAAAGTTGGATGCCATATCCTTTCATGTCCTATTTTCAACTTGTTCATTCCATAGGTACAAATGTTTAGAAAGCGAGCTCTCTAAAACATTAAAATTTTAACTATAGAAGTTTCTTCAATTTAAAGGATCCATCGCCTAGCCATTGATAAATAGGATCTTTGATGGTATATTAATTTCAATAGCAACTCAAACCAATAAGCCTTTTTATGACTTAACCATGGACACAAGAGGCATCCCTAAAGAGGTTGCAAAAGATGCAGCCCTCACAAGATCCAAAAGTTCACTCTGAGAGACAAAAAGGCCCATTGTGGACTGGGACCCCATAAGATGTTGTAAACTCTCCTGAGAGCTGGCACTGTGGGACCAAGAGGATGCTGCTTACCATGTTGTGTGTCTGATTCCCAGCCTATTCGGTTGGCTGCTAGAGACAAGCCCATACTGGCATCTTCCGGCTGGTGGAGACCACATAGTATTCTTGAACTGGTCAAAACGCCAAGTCCTTAAGACATAGATTAAGACAGGAGGAAAACCTCATCTGGCCTATGGTTTTCCTCCTTATGACAAACAACACAGAAGACAGAGATAACAGAAAACATCTCTGCGAGGGGAGCGATCAATAGAAAACGAGCGTATAATAAAATCTTTACCAAAATCTATACCCAAGGGACTAGTTTATACAAATATTGTTTCCTGCTTACCTACATTATGGGAAGGAACAGGCAGATGATTTTTCCCATCCTCTCCCCATGGGGCAGTACAGAGATTTGGGAGAGCAGACTTATCCTGGGCTGCTTCTGTCAGTGTTCCAGGGTCCTGTCTGCAGGCTCCAGAGCAAGAGTGGCATCTCAGTGGTTCCCATCATGAGTTGCCAAACTGTATGTGAGGAAAAATGATTCCCCCCTACCCTTTTAGGTCTTGACTGAGACCCCATCCCTGCCTAATAAAAGACAGATTAACAGGAGAAAAACAGAAGTTTAATAATGTACCCCTGTGCTATATATAGGTTTATCTACCTATAACTCCTTTATACATGAGAGATACCTGGGAAAATTGAGTAACTCCCCGAAAATGGCCCAAGCCATCTCCTTACTTTCTTCAGCTAAAGACACAAGAAAGATGTTGGCCGAGGGGGTGGTGGGGGCTGTGGGGGCGGGGGGAAAACCAGTTAAGGGAGGTTACTGGGAAAAGCACAGTAAACAGGGTGAGGTTGTTACGCAGATTTAAGTTGGAACCTTCTCCACTGGTAAGAGTTTCTTGATTTAGAGTCATCCTCCTCCAGGTACAGAGGGAGACACCTTTACAAATGAGATTTCTCTTCTAAATGTAAATTTCTCTTACAAAAGGATAACTTTTACTAGGTTTTCAGAGCTGTGTTTACAGTTTCTTAAAAATAATCAGCTCAAAAAATCCTTAGGCCAAAGAGGCATATTTTGGGGTGGTGTATTCTGCTCCTTTTCAGGGCAAGCCTGTATTCATTCATCATGTTAATGTCGGAATTCCCTGACTAGCTGGCTCAGAAAGGAAGAAGCAGAGTCGCCTGGAAAGTACAGAGTACTTCACACCAAAGGCCCAAGGTATTTCTGCTTTTTACTTGAAGGTGTGTGCGTGCACACACACACACACACAAGCACATCAGGTGGGGTTTAGGGTATCACACGTACTATCTCCAATCAGTCTACAAGACATACCCAGATTAGTGAGGTGTGCTGTGGAACAGTGTGTCGGTGTTCCCGGAATGGTACTAAGCCTTCTATCAGCAGTTAGGGCAGCCGGGTTCTCATTCTGCTGGAGCTCTTCCAAGTGGGAGGCTATTAAAGGCAAGAACATCAATGTTGGGAGAGACAGGAATTATGCTGATAGCAAGTGATCCTACTGTCGCAACATTAAGCTTTATAAACTTCAAGAAATGAATGCAAATGCAACAGTTTTTGTGAAACCTGAGAAACTGATGTAAAAGTTTTATCTGGAATAGTAAAGGCCCAGAAATAACCAGGAAAATTTGCATGAGAGAACAAAGATGGGAAAGTAGCTCTTAAGGATATCTAGAAACATAAACAAGAAGCAAGACAACGCTGGGTACAGGGAGGGGGGTGGGCACCATGCACTAAACATCATGAACTGCTTCTGATCGCCCAACTAACAGGAAAAGGGCTCAAAAGAATCAGTAATGAGGGGAATTCAAAAAATTTAAGGCACTTTCTAGCATCAAGTTATTGTTATTTTTAACTTACCTTTGGCTGACAAAGCATGCAAGAAGATGATGGCTTTTGATCACTTGTAATTGCAGGAGGGCTGTCAAATAAATCGTAACCAAAGGTAGTGAAGAATTTTCTTAAGTAAGGAAAAGGCTGAACTCTCCATATCAAAGGTGAATTAACTATTTCTGTCAATATTAATTCTGCAGGAAGAAAATGCCCTCCTAGCCCTTCTTTCAGAAGATACTCATTACTTACTGCGGAAATGAGCCATTTGAAGTTTTCTGAGGTTGAGAGGCACAGTCTTGATGCTTTAAAGCTTTTAGTCAGCAACAATCATGCTGGGCTGGATGCTGTCGCTGGCTTTGACTGAAAAATCAGGACCTTGGCAATCTATTAGATGTCCACAGTTATTTAGGCCCCAAAGAGGGTAGAGTTTAGGTAGGCGAGGAAAAGATTATTGGTAATGTTTCTAGTTCGATCCAGTTAAGGAAAAACAGAGGAGGACTGAAAAACCAGAAATCTTTATTTGAGTTAATTTATTTAAAAATGATATACATAATTAAATCGGGCAATCACCTGACCAAGTAATTTAATCCCACCAATAGCAAGAAATAATTATTGTTTAGAAAAATTAGTCATTAGTGAGCATAGCCAACCAAAGGGGGGAAAAAGACATCAATTTCAAAAGGAAGAACTTCATTGTAAACATTTGTGTTTTTAAACTATCTTATCAGAATGCACAAAAGCAAAGCAGAGACTGTGTAACAGGCAACTGGGCCAGGAGCCCACATAAAAGGGATAAGGAACACAAGAGTGAAGGAAATACTGCAGATACAGAAATAGCCATTTAATAAACAAATTATCATCATCAATGACTGTATTTTTACCAAAGAATAAGCATTCCAAAGAAGCACTATTTGATTAATACAAAAATTAATAAGAAAGTTTTAAAGTGCACATTCCCTGAAAAATTCATTTTTATATGTAATATACATATTTACATCCAGATATGACTATTTAAAAAAGTCTGTGACAATCTATCTGACCTTGCAACAAGCCCCAGATATAATTTCTGATAGTTTGTGAGTATGGATATGAAATTATTGCCAGTGAGAACATTTCAATGTCATCTACATTTTCACTTGGATGTTTTTCAGTCCCCAAATTGGTAACCTTGGGGTAGCCAATGGGATGCTGGTGGTATGATAGCATATTAAGAAATGTTGGGGTTTTCCAACATGTTCTATTTTAAGTACAGTTATGATTAGACTTTTTATTATATCACTCACACAGGGTTTCTTGTTGCAAGGACACCCTTAGGAGAAACACATTATTAAGGGAGCAGAGCAATACTAAATGAATGGTGCTCAGTGACAGGTTGACAGAAGTCTATCATAGCAGGTGTTAAACTATAATATAATTTGTATTTGTATAAAGTAAAAAGAATTTAAACACACTCCTATCAATCGATAAAATTTGAAGTTACACCTCTCATATAGCTCTTCGGGTAACCAAAATTATCTTTTTTGGAAAATGTCATAATGCTTTTTAAAAAAGAACGAATCTGTAATTCTAAAGTAAAACTTTAAAAAAACAATATAGAACAATTTACTTTACAAAGGAGGCAATAAAGTAAAAATTGTTTCAAGTAAAGAAACATGAAGGAGGTTTGTAATAGTGTAGGACTGTCCTACTTTGGGCACATCATGAGAAGGCAGGATACTTTGGAAAAAACAATGATGCTGGGAAAAACAGAAGGCAGCAGGAAAAGAGGAAGAACAAGTAGGTGGATTGACTGCACAAAAGAAGCCATAGGCAGGAGTCTACAGGAGCTGAGCAGGGCTGCTGAGGACAGGACACTGTGGACATCACTCATTCAGAGTCGCCAGGAGTCAGAGCCAACTCAAGGGCAAGTAACAAATCACATAAGACCCAGTATCTTCTCAGTACGTGTGCTGAGCTGCTTGAAGGAGAGCCCTGAAACAAGTACTACTTTATACCAATTGTGGCAGAAAAGCATGGGGGGAAAGTCTGCACTAATAGCTGCACTAACAGCCAATTATCAAAAATGTAGATAACAAGAACCATAAAAAATTTAACAGATTAATGCCCACTTGATTAGGTTAGCATTAGCAGGAAGGCATCATTTCAAAGGTGTGGCCAAGAGGGCAAATGCTTCCCTTAAGAATATGGAAAGGAGCTTTAAGTGATAAACAGGGTAGCACCGAAGAAAATCAGGATGAATAAATTGTGTATTGAATACTGCATAAGGAATGCAGGTTATCTACATTTCCTACTTGAATCCCACAGAAATGAGGAAATCTAATTATTTTTAGCTAAATTGCATTGGCATTTTTATAGCACCCTCCAATGAATGAGCAGTTTGGCCCCGGAAGAATGTAACCTATGTACTAGCTCCCTATTTTTAAGGGCCTTTGCTACCTGTATGATGAATCCGAGAGAAGGTAGATGAAGCAAATTCAAAGGAGAACCTCTGTCTCCACTCCCAGTAAAATGCTTAGTAGGAGACAGGCTGAAATGCATCAAGTTAATATCCTGTGGCCTTTTAGGGCACTGTCTGTGGATTGAACTTTTCTATGCTTTTTCTGGTCCCACTGATGCCTGGTTTTACACACCATGAAAGGAAAACATTTTACAAACCAAAAGAAGAGCTATCCCATCTTCTCACTCTAGAGATCAAGAGCGCTCACAATCTGCAGACTCCCTGAGTTGTGGCTCTCTGAGCCTATCTGAGGTCAGGCTCCACACAGTCTGAATGTTTCAACAATCACTGGCCAGCCTGCACTTCCACTTGCAATGGCCTCAAGGTTTTCATTTTTGTTTTAGTTTTGTGTTTCTTTAAACTGCAATTCACAATAGGAAATAACATTTTATATTGTGACCTAGTATACACAGTATATAGAGTATTTAACCATAACAATATTTTGGGAACAATGTTTGATCTTGCTCCATGCACAGCTCTCTTCTTTTCTATTCCACTTTTGAAATATTCAGGGCTTGAGCTGTTAAATTGATTTCATGGACCACTAATGGGTCAAGACTTATAGTTTGAAAAACAGTGCCCTTGAGGATGTTGGTTGATCTTGAGAAAAGGTAAAAAGTAATGGCCCTGGAACCTGAACAGATTTCTCTGAATGGTGTTGGCTGGCACACAAAACACCCGTCCTACATGGCTACTTCCACTTTCATGGTGTCAGCACATACCTTCCAACTTCTACCGGCAAACTGACCCAGTACCTTCTCCCAGTCTTCCTTGTACAGGGGCTCTGGCTTGGCCTGAAGGGTCAATGAACGACTGGATAACTAAGGTGCAGAAAAGTCAGTACTGTGTCTCCTCATTGTTTACCAGACAGAAATAGGACACTCTGTAGAGGATATTTCCATGGGTGCATATGTGTTCACTGGGATATCACCGCTACTCCCATCAGAAAAAAATGAGAGAAATAATTATGATAGAAAAAGTTAAAAAAAATTTCTTACTAATTTGAGGCCACAGGATAGTTGGAATGGATTAGGACTGTAGAGGAGAAAAGGGCCAGGGAAGGGACCAGAAAGTAACTCAGCTGTATATACAGATGATGGGAAAAACCACCCAGTCTCACTTGGGAAGGAGCAGCTGACATTCACACTGTAATAGGGGAGCCTTTGGAGACGTGCACATGTTCTTTGGTTCAGAAAGTATTTTATAGAAGTGAGGAAATCACAAGCTTCTTTTTGTACCAGAAATCAACATTGCTATTTCTAATAATCACAGCTTTCTGGAGAAGAGTTGTCAGGAAACCGAACTCTGCCTTGGGTTTTACACAACAATCATGGACCAGAATATACGCTGGACTAGCATTGAGGTCCTGGAGCCACAGCTGATACATAATACAAAGAAAGAACTGACTTAAAACTCAGGACCTCATTCCATAGCAACTACTAAACAACAAGCTTAACATTCTCAACAAGCTTAAAGAACTCAAACTACCGAACAACAAGGTTAAAGTTTTCAAATAGAAAGACATTAAGTGTAGTAAAGTATAATTCAGGGCACTGTTTTCAAATATAATAAGATTATAGACTCTGTAACATTCAAGAAAAAGAATATAGAATCAAATACATAATTGTAAAGTGTTAACGCTAAAAAGACGATGCATCAGATCTACTGTTTCAATGAGAACAACCTAAGACAATTGAAAAACTACTGCACTTGACATTGTAGGTCTTTCTACTTTAGGAACAGAAGAAGGGACAGGAGGTACTGACAGGTAGAGGACTGGTGAGAAAGAGTAAGAAAAGACATTTGGAGGTTCCTCTTGGTGAGGGAACAGAAGAGGCGTACTGGCTCTGCAAAGGGTGACAGTTACAGGACCCACTCCTGCTGGCCTCCTGAGGGCACCAGAAGACTCTCTCTGCTAGTCTTTCAGGCTCTTGCCCTTTATCATGGGCCAACCAAGGAGTTATGGGCCTGCATTTTTTTTTCTGAGAATAAAATCATGAAACTGGAGTAGGTAATGAGGTACTTGGCTAATGGCACTGAATGGAACTCCGGGAGAGCAACACTGCGGAGGAGGACAACCTGCTGGATTTTCTGACTACCTCTGCTCTCAGATTTAATTCTAATGTCTGCAGAATCGGAAGAGCTCAGCAACAGAGAAAATGTGCCATCAAGGGATCACACAGTATCAGGTGACTTGAAATTTGTCATCTTTCGATTCAATTTATGTTCAGCAAAGAAAAAAAATACATTCTGGAGGAAACTATTGATAATAAACAATGCATTTTTATAATAAGAGGAAAATCAATAGTAGTGAGTCGTAGGATTTGGTCAGGAATACATATAATTACGGTCTGGCATGCTGTTTATTTTAGCTTTTACAACAAAGCAAAGGGTTTGAGGAGCCTTAGGAGCATTTCACAAGTCTCTAATCCAAAAAACAGTTTATAACAATTTCATGGCACATACAACATGCATCAAATACTCTGTATTATTTAATAACTAAATAAGATGCTGTATCATTCTTTTCATGGTTCACAATCACACACTCATCTTCTTTCACTTGAGAAAGCCCATTCATATTAAGGTGTTTGAACAAAAACCAAGGGAAAAAACCCATGACCTTATTTTTACTAATGATTTTTGTTCTGATGAGCTATACATTTGAAAGAATGATTCTCATTTGAATAACTATAGAGAAAGCAAACTGTAAATTTTCAATCTGTTACCAACAGGACAGGTTCCTGGGTTAGACTGTAGGGTGCATACCTATATTGTGAGAGGGGTTATCTGGTCTGAAGCATAACTCCTATTTAAGATGGTGGGAATTTTGTTTATTTCATCATTACCAGTGAGTAGAGTGGGCATTGTTAAGGCTTCAGGAATTTTCCTTTAAAGTGGCAATCTATCAAAAATGTGAGCTGGGTAAACCAAGTAGATCCCATGGAGATGGCTTGAGGAACTATTTCTAAGGCATCAGAGTTCTGAGGAGGGCTTTCTCTTTTGAGTTATGACATTCATTTTACAAGCCTTTCTTAAGATGAGGCTTGAAAGGATATTATTCAATCTGTATTATATATAAAAAGATTGTTTTTATATTCATGCTGTATATTTGAAGTACAGTTCAAACCCATCCTTTATAAAAATAAGGAAAATAATATCAAAATATTTATCTGTAAAAAGAACTACATGTTTCTAAAGAAATCACCACTAAAGTTCTCTTGATACCACTGAGGCAATGTTTGATTTGATCACTTATTCAGAGAGTTGGAAGTAAGCATGAGAGAAGTTTAAAGTGTAAACTCGGAACATTAATCTTAGCTTCATATGAAGGCTAATTATGGGCAATTTCTCCACCAGTGCAGAGAATCACCTGGAGCAAATATTTAAAAAATGTTTCTCTTATAAAATAATTAGAATTTTAACCCAATGCATGATTCAAGTTAGAAAACCAGAGGAGTTGAAATATTTTAATCACATAGCTGTTTTACCTGATTCTAACTAATACACACACATATATATTTTATGTACTTAAAATTACTTCTGTACTATGGTTCCCAAACAGGTTTAGGAAGGTACACGGTAGAAGCTGTAAGGATTAATCAGTGTGTCTTCTGGCAGTGTTCTCCATCAGAGGGTCGGGGAAGGCTCTCTTGCTTCTTCTAGCTTTGTGAGGATCCACTGTTGTGAGGAAATAAACCAACATATGCTTACTTCTATGAACTTGTAATGAAACTCAAAATGTACTGAATGGAAATATAGAAGTGGGCTTCTCAGTTTAGTTAGGTGTATAATCATAGCCAATAATTCAATTTATCTTATGTAAGAGATCATTTACTCACTTAAATGGCTCAGATTGCTCAGGGTCAATGGCACTGATTTTTATTTAACAGTAAGAATAATGTTGTTCTAAGGTCACTGAACTGGCATGTTCATCTTTAGAATAAGAAAAGTAAAATAAACCATCCTGAGAGAAAGGGTAATTTGGCAGCTGGGCTAACTCAGGCACAGTGTGCAAATTACCTATGCAAAATTCCTTCCAACCTATGCCAATTCTGTCCCACAAACCTTCATCATTCCATATATAGGATTCTTCTGATTAAGAATAATTACATATTCTACAGTGGGTAGGAGTAGCATAGCAACATTCTTGAGCACTTCAGGTGTTCTCATAATATAGTATTTTCTATTTTGAAAAGGTTTGAAATCACAAACATAAAACACATATGTAATGCAAACCTTCTATCAATAATGTCTATAATCATTGGGCTTGTGTGACTGATAAAAGCCTTGGAGGTGACACTGGGTCATCCCACTATGAAACACTTTGGCAGAGGTATCTGTGCTTCTTTACCTTAAGAAGAACCTAGTGGGAATAGCTCTAGGATGAGGAGAGAAAGAGAACCAAGCTCAGTAGCCTTCTCTGGATGTTTCCAGCAGAGCTGGAAGATTAAAAACAAACCTTCTGGGACAAAAAAACATGGTGACAGAGATTACATGGAAAACGTATTGCAGAGAAACAGAAATAGGTGGTAATGCTCTTCAGCAATGTGAAAGATGGCCTCGAAGTCACACTGTTATCATTCTCTAGTCTGTCTCCCTGTTCCAGGCCACAAACATATCGAGGCTCTAGTCACTTTCTTCCTCTTTCTTTGTAACTTGATCCCTTTCAGTTATCTACTGGTAGTATGCCAGTGTGGCCTTGTATCCCAATGTCTGGATGGAAAATTGCACGGCACATGCTAAATGGTCCGAGGTTCCTAGTTTGGGGCCCAGATGTGAGAGTGAATCCGTAAGTAGTCACACCCAGTCAGGACCAATGCAGTATGAGGGCAGGAGGCCCAGGGATTCAGTAAAGGAGCCTTGTGTTCTTATAAATTTCATGACACAGTGAGTACAATTCAGTATCAGAAATAGCATCTTAGTTTGATTAACAAGGCAGATAATCAGTCTGTAGTCTTCCTTTTTTTGACAGTACACCTCCTTGTCACTGCCATAACCCCTAACATATGCACAGTGCTTTTCAGCTCACATTATTCATATTTTTCGGTAACTGAGGTTAAACGACTTCCCCAAGGTACCACAGTCAAGAAGGATCATAACCTGTATTCAGACCTGGATTTTCTGACTATAGGCTTGGCTCCTTCTGCTATGTGTCAGGTTATAGCAACTGTTTGTAAATCACCATAGCTACACAGAGGAGAAATCTACAATGTGGGGTATCTGTTCCTGCTGGAGCTGGTAGATTAGTATTAGAATGAAATAACTTCTGTTTGACTTTTTCACAAGTATTACAGTTAGGATTTAAAATCAGATGGCGCCATTTGACACAAAAAACAAGTAGGTGTGTTGAATTCAATCTAATGAAAAGCAGTTTTGGCGAAATATTATCTAGTCACATATATTAAAACAGTCAAAGCAGAAGAACATAATTAAAAACAAACAAAACTTGTCTGCCTTAGCAACAGTCCAGCTTCCAGGACTATGAAAAGCAAAGCTGCTGTTTACAGAAGAGAACCGTTATATTTACCCTAGCATCTTCTGCGGTCTTGAAGTTAATTATTTTTCCAAACTCTTTGGCATGGAATACAGACTTCACCCGTTCCTATAAACAGAATAAGTGACTTCATTAAAAATGAAAAACCAGTTGTAGAAACATGATAAAGAAATGGCATGTAGTTTTAAAAACTGGTGCTTCAAGTGTCCATTTTACACAAATCACACACCTTAAAAAAAAAGCCAAGAATGGGAAATCAAGAAGAATCAAAGACAAATGGAAAAAAGAAAAGACTAAACATTAACACATCCATTATCACTAAACCTAAGTTAAAACGCCTTAGGTGCGATGTTATAGCTAAAGCCATAAAGGGTTTACACAAAGGATGGGAAGGAGGTAAGTTTGGGAGGAGTGCCACTGTTTTTCCCTCCAAAAAACTTTTTGGTGGTTCTTGATATCTGGCCATGGAATAACGATGATTTTAGCTCAAAAATGATATATACGTATGTGTGTACATGCATACATACATGCACATGATTATGGGTGTGTGTGCATGTTTGTATGTATCCATGTAACTTCTGGCATTTTAAACCACTCATTGAATAAGAATGTAGCTAAGAATCAAAGAAATCAGGGTGGGTCCAAGATCCTATATGACAGTCTTCCAAATTTTGCACTCCTTCAGTATTCTGTTTAGTGTCTCTGGGGAGAACTGCCTCATATACATACTAAATATTAGAGGGACAAACAGAAGAAGTGGAATTCTTGAGGAGGAGGTTGGTGTTTAACTGCTATTAACTAAGGGTAGGGTCATAGAAGAGGCAAAGTGGAGGTTTTTACTAGTCTAACAAATCCTATAAGTCATTCCAATATCCATGCAAATATAGACTCCAAAAGAAATCAGATTCTTTTATTTTTTTAAAAAAGGATGACTACTAATACAATGTCTCAAGAATAGGTATAAGGGGCGGGGGGGGGCGAAATCAAGGACATAAGAAGTTTATTCTTGGAAAGAGAAAAAAAAATATGGGGAAAAAGCCAGGAAAGCAGTATAGGCTAGAACAGAATCTAACAGCCACTCTTCTTTCTTCTTTATTTCATAGGTGGCCACAGGGCCTTTCATTTTCTGAATGAATTAGAGAAATTCTCAATGGGAAAAGTTGGTCTAACATCCCCCGGAACTAATGTCTGGTCCACTCCCCCCACTCTCTGGACTGAGTGGTAAGATTGGAGAAATGCTCTTCACTGGCTATGTATAGGGAAGGGCAGTTTTGCTCTGGAGGCCAGCCCAGAAGACATTTGCTGCTTCTGCCTGCCTGTGCCCAGTGCCACTACTCCATTAAGCACTTACTAAATCTCCTCTGGGTAACTATTTCTCACCTTCTCTCACACCAACACTTCAGACAGAGCTAACACTTCCATCCTGGGATTGATTTAGGAATAAGCAAGTGACCAAAGGTGCCCCAGTGTGAAGCTTTCATTCTGCTGAACTACCAGGATAAAAGCCTGGAACTTCCCTGGCCATCCTGTCATCAAAAAATAGCCAACTCGAGAATGAAGCTGCCACTGAAGAAAGCAGAACCTAGAGATGAGGGTGGCACAGAAAGGGAGCAGGAAAAAGGAACGGAAGGCAGGGACAGTAATTGCTAATGACATCAGTTGAGCATATCTAAGTTATAAGATATAGACTTAAGACTTTTCACTTTACATGAGTCAATTAAGTCTCTCAAAATCAAAACAAAACAAAAATAACCAAGAAAAAACTTACCTTGGTTGAGTCACAATATTTCCCAACACAGTGCCAAAGGGGCCCTACACATACGTTCTTTTTTATCACATATACCTACTATATTACTATACCTATATACTACTACATCCTACAATGTCTAGTGCAGTGGTCGGCAAACTGTGGCTCGCGAGCCACTTGCAGCTCTTTGGCCCCTTGAGTGTGACTCTTAGGAGTATCCTAATTAAGTTAATAACAATGTACCTACCTATATAGTTTCAGTTTAAAAAATTTGGCTCTCATAAGAAATTTCAATTGTTGTACTGTTGATATTTGGCTCTGTTGACTAATGAATTTGCCGACCACTGGCAGTGCAATCATCACAACTTACAATGGAGTCTCTATTGATTTCCCAAATGACTAGAAATTCACTGTATTTTACATGAACATCCAATGCCAGGCAACATGCTAGCTGCTGGTAATCAAAACAGAGAAAGAAATGGTCTCTGCCTTCAAGATTATAACTGAATTGGGATAGGAATGGGCTAAGAATATCTATAAAAAGAGAAGGAACTATCAACTATCACCTGTTATTTTGCAAGTGTCCTTTTTGTGAGATTTTCAAGGAAAACCATTCTCCATGGCACAGCTAGGGATTTTGAGGTATGCAAATGATTTTCTCATTTTGGTGTCTTGGACAGCAGTGAGAGGGTAAGGTTCTATTACTGAATATAAAATAAGGACCCGGGAATGTTGTTGTCAACGTAATAGCTTGCAATGTAGCATATTTCTTCTTGGCCTACCTTTCTTTTCTTTAAACCTGCGTAAGACAGCAGGTATAAAGGAAAACCATAGGAAGACAAAGCGACATCTATAAAAGAGAGGAAACTTACAAAAGTAAAGAGGACTATTTCAATGCGCTATGTTCAGTTCCAAGTTTAAAAAAAAAATCTATTCAACGTACCTTTGCTTCAATTCGCAATCTTCTTCCATGAACAATGAATGGTTCTTTGGTAAACTCATCAAAACTGTACTGCCACTCACATGTAAGCTGTCCAAATGTTCCTTTTGTTACAAACAATACCCCACTGCAAAAAAAAAGATCACTTTGAAAATCGAGACTCTTATATCCAACAATATAATAATATCAGGATACACATTCTTTTCAAGTGCACACAGAACATTCACTGAGACTATATTCTGGGTCATAAAAAACCCTCATGAATTTAAAAGAACTGAAATCTTATGAAGTCTGTTCTCAGATCATGATGAAACTAGAAACCAATTAACAGAAAAATAAGAATATTTCTAAATGTTTGAAAATTAGCATACTTTTAAATAATCCAGGGGTCAAAATATCTCAAACGAAATTAAAAAAATATTTTTAACTCAATGAGAATGAAAATAGATCATAACCAAATTTGTGGGCTCCAGCTTAAGCAATATTAGTGGGGAATTTATAGCATAATATACTTATATTAGAAAAAATAAAGTAGATATAAAGTCAAATATATAAGGTACTTTATGAGAAATATAAAATATTTGCAGAACCTATTATCAACCAATATTTTGGGGAACTTTCATGTCATTAATACTTTAGAATAAACACTTTTATTACTCAGGCTCCATGTAATATGTTTACCAACCTACAACAGAAAGAGGCTTTTAAAATTAATTCTTGTTTTCCCTCATTTGGAGGTAAAAAATAAAGCAATGAAAATGCATTCTATAATAATTCTATTTAATCCTCCCTTCAAAGGCTTTTCTTCCCCAATTCTTCCTTCTGGTTGAGACATCAATTGTAGATACAACCAGAGGTTTCTTTAAGTAACATATACATTAAGGCATTGAGATAAAGAAAGAAATATACCTTTTGGTTATCATTAACATATCTGTTTTATTGATCATGACATGGGTAAAATATTTGTATTTTGCAAATCTTCCATTTTCTATTACCTAAAAAAGGTGAGAGAAAAATCAATAATTATTCCTATTGTAATGTAAGAAATCCCTTATGATCTTCTAAAACCATTTCTTAATGGGGTCAAGTCATTAACATATTTATACAGAAAATATATAATCAGAAAACTGAATATTCACAAAATAATTGCTCCTACTTGTTTAAAAGCACCTATGTGCACTGCTTTATTCAAGATTACTCAATTGTAGCTATACCAATCTTTAATGCTGAATTTTTAAAAGAAATCTTAATACCTTACAAACTCAGAGACATAAGTTTACTATTAAACTATCACATTCATTTTATCTTGGGAACTATATTAGTGTTTGATCACATCTATACAAAAACACATGTAAACACACATATTTAAATATATGTATCACATAAATTACTATTAACTCTCATCTTGCCCCTTCCCTGGAATTTTCCTACCTGCCTTACATATATGCTTTTCTTTCTCAATCTCACAACTCATCTATATGTCCCTCCAACCATCTGACCAGTCGCTATGATGTGCACTGACCACCAGGGGGCAGACGCTCAACGCAGGAGCTGCTGGCCATTTACAGAGAAACGACACCGCAGAACTGGTGCCAACAAAACAACACTTGGCTTCCCCCAAGTGGGACACAGGCCCTGCCACCACCCTGGAGAGACAGCCCACCAAATTGCAACCAATGCTGCTGAGACCCCATGGCACAAAATGTGGCCCACAGCTCAGCCCAGCCCAGAAATGGTGGCTGAGGGCGCTGGGTAATGATGTCACATAGCAACACCCAGCGTCCTCTCCCTAGTGAGTAGCCTCCTTGGAGTTTCTTCAGCCCAGGAACATGACTTGCTTTATAGCCAGGTGCAAACATTTCAAACTTTAACCAAATGTCTGTGAAGAATTTTTCCATCTCATTTGACCCTCACAGAAGTCCTGGAGTAGGTAGATAGGAGACTCGGTAGAATCCTATTTCCTTTTCATTAGCCAGAAAATGGAGATTTATAAAGTTTAGAAACTTGACCTGACTGAAAGGAAGAAATGGTGGACCTTGAAAATGACTTCAGGTTTTCTCACTGCGCAGAATATAGTCAAACACTGCTGCAGTTAAATATTTTACCCTTTGTTCTCCCTGCATGATCTACAATAATAATCTGCTTTGTGTTGATATTTACTGACAGTTACATGAAAAAGAAGTTGGGGTGCTTCACTGGGCTGGAAAAAGTTTAGCTAAATCAGAAAGCAGGTCTAATTAAGCAAGTTTATTCTATATCTATAAAAGGTTAAGTTGACTTGCGCACGCATGATACATAGAAAGCTCTTGCTGGCACCAATCGTACACGAGTGTTTTGACCTGCCATTGCCGAATGTGAATTTGGTTGACACTTCCATTATAAAGGGCAAATAGCAATATTAAAATATTTCTTCTAAATAATTTCCTTTCAATGTGCACAAATCTGTGCACTGGGCCACTAGTTAAAAAATAAGGAGCAGAGTATTTCTGGACACACAGGGAACCCCAGAACCTAGTTAACCTATGCACTGGCCTTTAAGTTTATTTTCAAGACCGATGAAACACTGTCTATCCATGACTTTTTCAACAATACTCTGTTAGAAAATTATGTTCCATGAGGCTATATATATATATATTTTTAAAAACTAAAAGTATTTAGCCTAGAAGAAAGGTAATGAGTGACTTCTTAATCATCTTGGTAGAGAAGCCTGATAGAATAGTCTTCATTTCTATTGGAGACAGAAGTTAAAACGATGACAAAAAAACAAGCCAAACCAAACCAAACCAAAACAAAAACCCAACTACAACAGCAGGGTGAGGCATACAAATGAATTAAATGGAAAAATTTCTAACTTTAAATTTTATAATATTGAGGAAAGAGCATCTTTACTATTTCTTGTGGTAGGCAGGACAAGTAAACACAAATTTCTTGAATTACAAAAAAAAAAAAGGGACACAACCACAGATTCAGAAGAAAGTAATAAGAATTATTAGATCACAAATTATATAAATAAATTTGAAAACAGCTTGGTGTTGGTAGAAGTTATATATAGACATATTATAGAAAGAATACAGATTCCAGAAATTGACCAAAACACACATAGGACTTTATAAAATTCTATCTATACAAATATAGAAATTTAAGAAATCAAAATAGCATTTCAAGTTCCTGGGCAAAAGCATGTATTATCAAATAAATGGTGTTTCAGGGAACTAGCTGGCTAAAGTGGGATCCCTACTTCTCTCCATATACTAAATTAATTCCACATGGTTTATTTAAGCATATAAAGCAACAATATAGAGGTACTAAATAAAACATTTTAATGATCTTAAAGTGGGAAAGGCTTAATAAAATACAAAGTTCCTAAAATTTAATGTAAAAGAATTCCTAAGTACATGAAAATTAAGTACTGTTAAATGGCAAAACAATGAGTAAATAAACAGAAATAAAATAACACAAAACCCAAAAAATGTTTGGAAAACATTTTTCAATACAGAGTTATAGAGCTAATTTCATAATGAAGAGAATTCTAGGAATATGAATAAACCAATGTAAAAAATGAGTAAACTAATAGGAAAATGTGTAAAGTCTATTAACAGGTAGTTCAGCAAAACACAAACAAAATGTGACCAATAAACATATGAGGAAACCCTCAACTAATTTCAAAATAAAAAAATGCAAATCAATTAAATGTACCCTTTGAGTCTCATTTTATGTAAAAGTATCCCAAGATATACATATAGAAATCTTCATGGCAATATTGTGTTAAAAGCAAAAAACATAAATGTTAATTAATAAGGAACTATTTAAGTAAATTAGAGTATAGCCATATAATGGGACATTATGCAGTAAGGAGAAAAAGGTAGATGTGTGTACAGATATAGAAAAATATGCCATCTTGTGGAAATACTGAGAATGAATGGAGGAAAAGCAGAAACACATACATGTATAGTTATTTATTGTGCACAGAAAATTTCTGGAGGGTTGACAGTAACACACCAATCTACTCATTGCACTTATCTCTGGGCTTCAAAAGAATAATAGTAGAGGTAGAAATGAAGCTTTATTTTTAACTTTATATCCTTTTGTTTCAGTTTAGTGGTATTTGAAAAGAAATTAGCTTAAAAGTACATACTTGCTTTTGTTTTATATGGCCAAGTTTTAAAAGCAAGAATACAAATGTTGATCTCAAGAATATCAAATGCTACTAAGACTCAAGAATCTATATATCCCTATTTTAACAAAAATAATGTTATTTCATGACAAATTTTAAAAACTAGCCAAGTTGCTAAATCTTCTTGCTATAATAATGTATATCCACATAGCAATTCAATAAAAAGGTTTCAAGTTTTTAAAAAAGGAATCTATATACCCCATTAAAAGATCTAAACCTTTCAATCAAAAGCTATGGTTCAGCCCTAACCGGTTTGGCTCAGTGGATAGAGCATTGGCCTGCAGACTCAAGGGTCCCAGGTTCAATTCCGGTCAAGGGCATGTACCTTGGTTGCGGGCACATCCCCAGTGGGGAGTGTGCAGGAGGCAGCTGATTAATATTTCTCTCTCATCCATGTTTCTAACTCTCTATCCCTCTCCCCTCCTCTCTGTAAAAAAAAAAAAAAATCAATAAAATATATTTAAAAAAATAAATAAAAGCTATGGTTCAACTCTGACCTCAGTAACTAGCTTCTATTTCTTTTTTTTAAAAAAAATTCTTTATTGTTTAAAGTATTACATTAGTCTCCTTTTTCACCCATTGACCTCTCCCTGGCCGCTTCCACCCCCAGCACATGCCCTCACCCCCCTACTGTCTGTATCCATTAGTTATGCTCATATGCATGTATACAAGTCCTTTGGTTGATCTCTTATTTCAACTTTAGAGGCCTGATGCACGAAATTCATGCACTCGTGTGTGTGTGTGTGGGGGTGGGAGGGTCCCTCAGCCCGGCCTGTGACCTCTCACAGCCCAGGAGCCCTCGGGGGATGTCCGACTGATGGCTTAGGCCCACTCCTGGCCTAAGCCAGCAGTCGGACATCCTTAGCACTGTCATGGAGGCGGAAGAGGCTCTGGCCACCGCCGCTGTGCTCACCAGCCATGAGCCAGGCTCAGGGCTTCTGGCTGAGTGGGGCTCCCCCTGTGGGAGTGCACTGACCACCAGGGAGCAGCTCCTGCGTTGAGCGTCTGCCCCCTGATGGTCAGTGCACATCATAGTGACTGGTCGTTCTGCCGTTTGGTCAATTTGCATATTAGCCTTTTATTATATAGGATGGTGTTAAGTTTGGGCACTGCAGTTGAGCCTGCCTCACATCACTTTCCACTTTTCAGACCCAATGTAAATCAAATCTAAGCTGAGCATATATGCAATCAAACCAATTTCAATAGTCACAACAGCATCTAGTATAAATAAAAATTAAAAAGTCCAACAAAGTCGTTCATGTGATGTTTTTCTGGAGTTCATAAACAAACTTTACCCACTACACTTGAAAGATGGACATTATAGTCCAGGCTATTCTGAAACATAAAATGAACTGTATTCTTTGTTATTAAAATGGATATACAGGTGTTCAAAAAATGTATAAACACTGTAATAGCTGATAGTTCAATTTTGAAAATGAAATGTATTTTAATAAACACTGCCTTTATTCAAAGTATGTGTATACATTTTTTGGGACATCCTATATTTGAATAAATGTCAAAGGTAACTACTTATACAGTAAAATTTTGCTGGTCAGTCTCCATTACAAACATGTGAATATGGAATAAGAACAGCACTGTGAGCAGAAGATAGAACTTCAGAACTAAATCCCATAGAAACATGAGAGAGAATGGCCCCCTCCTGCTGTAGAGTCTACAAATATCATGCTTTGGCAACAATTTCCTGACTTTGTAAATTCCTTGCATATGAGGCTTTATAATTTTCAGAACGTCATTATATATTACTTTATGGGGAAAAAAACAACAGAATTTTAGACCTGAAGGAATGTTATTGTACATCCA